CGGGCTGCGTAGCACGCCGAACGTGTTCGCGCCCCTTCACGTTCGGGCGAACGTGTTCGCGCGTTCGCGCGAACTGCTTGCGAACATGTTCGGGCGAACATATTTTTTTTTCCGTAAAAAAAAACAATATATATATCTATTTGTGACGATATATATATATATTTTCGGTTTAGGATTTTTAACTCATGATTGGCTACAAATTTGAACATGACTCCAAGGCAAAAGTTGCTTGTATTGTTGTTTTACATAATATATATTGTTTTTCAGATTTTTCTGAGAACTTTGTTTTTTTTTTTAATTATTATTTTTTATGTTCGCGTTCAGAGGCTATGTATCCCCGGCGGCCGCGGTCACCGCGGGCATGACCGCGGCCACCGCGGTCGCGGTCAAAAAGGGCGCGCCGCGGGCGCGGGGGAGGGGGTACCGGTAGTCGAGGTCGGGATTCCGGGGGCGCGAGCAGGGCCAGACACCCCCGCAAAGAACAAAATGAAAAAAAGTTAAAAACGGGGGGGTCCAAATTGGGGTATGTTTAAGGGGGGGTTAAAAAATAAGGGACCCCCTTTTTTGAATTTCGCCGGCGCAGGCTTCGGTTAAGTGGGGTCCCCTTCACGGACACGCTGAGAACAATTTTTTTTTTTTTTTGGGGAGGGGGTGGTTTACGGGTTGTAGAGGGGGGGGTGGGGTAGAGGGTTTTGGGGGTGCCACTTTCACAACACATAAATGTTTTTTTTCCTTTTGTTCAGCGAAGGTTTTGGGGGTTTGATTTGGTCGGGGAGTCGTTCGTTGGGGGGGTGTTGGTGGATGTCATTCATTGGGAGGGGGCAGAAAGAGAGGGCTCATTCGCTGAAAGGCAGTTGGGGAGGGACATTAACTGGGAGGGGATAGGGTTTGATAGACATAAGGACAATACAACACACACAGAAACACCAATACATGATATAAACATAGCACTGACAAACGTAATGTATCTATGACAAAATGTGAACAAAGTCAATATGACAACCTGGCCAAGAAAACCAAAACTGGTGTCGCAGTGTAGGAAAAAAATACTACAACCATGAGCAAGTCTGACACCTAACATGATGGAAACATAGCACAGCAAAACTAACAACGTAGAGCAACTCTGAAACCTAACAACTAAGAACATGAAAGTAATGTACAGATAAAATAAAGATAATATACAAAAACATGAAAGTACAAAACTAATCTGCCCTACTACACAAAGTCGCTAACTCCTGCCGTGTAAAACATGAAAGTACAAAACTGATTTGCCGTGCTATACAAGTCGCTAACCCTTGCTGCCGCGCCTAGTATGAGTGCTATGATGTGCTGCACTCCCTCTCCCTGCCAATGCTCCTCTCTGCCCACTCCGACCCCTACCGCGTGGTGCTCCCTGTCTCCCTACGGGTGCAAGGTGTGAGCCTGCCGCGGACGCTACTCTCCGATGCCTCTCTCTCCTCATAGCTGTGTCGATGGGCTCAGTCTCTGTGTCCGCCTCCTCAACCTGTGCCTCCGTCTCCGACATCCTCTCACGCTCGCGAATGAGGTCCGCCAACCGCTACTGGTCAGCAGCAATCTCCGCATCAAGATCCCTGATCGAGCCATGACGTCTCGAACCCTGTGGCATATGCAAGTCCTCCTCGCCCGATGTGTACGGCAGTCCCTGCCGTCTGTTGTTAATGGCTGATCGAGCCGGATAAACCTCCAACCTCTCTGTCCTCATCGTCTCAACTCTATCCAATCCGAGTATACGTCCTGCTGTGTGGACACTCGGTCGTCCAGCCTCACTCGCACCTGCTACAGGATCTCCCTCCCCCAATGGTCCTCGTGCGAACAGCCCCCGTCCTCTATCGTAGTCCCTCCTCAGACTGTCCGTCACTCGCCGACAAGACGACCACCCCCGTAAAACGCCACCTCGATGACTCGAAGAAGATCCCCGCTCACTGCCTCGACCTCCAATTGGTGGAAGGCCTGCAGCCGGTGCTGATCCCTGCTGCGATGCTCGAGATACAGGGCGCGTCAGTGGCTGCGCATGGCTGCTGCTAGGCCCGCCTGAAAACACTGCCGCCTGTCTCTCCAAAGACTCCCGCTCGCGGATGTCGGACTGCGATGATCCGGTCCACCTAGGGCTCACTGGAGCCCACGGGGAGGCGAGGGCTGACCACCGGTGAACGGGAAAGGGTCCTCCGTCCCCAACCTCTCTAGCTGCTCCGGATGTAATGGGGTCGGAGTGCACTCGCCCGGTTCCCCGGCATCCCACTGAGGCATCTCCCCGAAATGCCCACCTGTGGAGAAAGGGCCCGGCCCGCCCGAGTCAATATGCCCTCCTCTCTCGACATCTCGCACCGACGGGTGCCTAACAATAATCGCGAGGGACATGTCGATGGCTGCTCCCTCCTCCTCAACATGCCCTCCGATCACGCCATCTCGCACGGACGGGGCACTGTGGCCTGCGTCGACCGCTACTCCCTCCTCGTCATCCTCTGCCCCGCCATCAACAAAAGCCTCGAAAGGCACACTGCCCTCGTCCACCAACTCCTCCTCAGGCAAAGCCGAATCGCCCTCGTCCAACTCCTGCTGAGGCAAAGGAACACTCCCCTCGTCCACCAACTCCTCCTGAGGCAAAGGCACACTGCCCTCGTCCACCATCCCCTCCTCCCCTCCATGAGTCCCTCCATCTGTGTCAGCCGCGCATATGCCAATCACGACGTCGCCTACGATAGCCTCGGCGGCCGCACACTCCTCGCCGTCGTCGGAGCTCTCCGCTCCTGTGTTTTCCCCGACTGTCTCGACACCCCCGACATGACCACCCTCGCATGGCACATCTCCCTGCCCCCTGCCTCCAACAGGGAATCCGCATGTGTCAACACCACCACCCACAACATGAGAGGGCCCAGAGGGGGGCTGCATCGTGTCAGAAGTCGGCATACGTCCGACGCTCGATGGCGGACCCGCTCCTATCGTCTCTAACTCCCTCTGCCTCGGCTGCTCGGCCTCATACGCCTCTCTGCCCTCCCATCGAGGCATGGACTGTAACCGTGCCTCCTCCTCGCGATCCAGGCGAGCATCCCTCTCCTCAACAGTCTCCTCCCTCTCCCTCACATCCGTACTGTAATCCGGTCTGTCATGGACTCTGCATCGTAAGACAGGTGAGCCCCCATGCGAACCCGCGATATCGACATCGCTGGTGCGCAGAGAGGATGTCGCAGCCTGTGCGGGGGCGTTGTGTGACGGTGTCCCCTCCGCGACCGGTATGTCCTGAGGCTGCTGGGACGCCGGAACGCTACGCTCTGCCAACCTGTGTGATCGACTAAGCTGCTCTGAATGCTCCCTGGAGTGGTGGGTCGGATCGAACCGAGGGTCCCGCAGGCGGTCAGCGTGAGGTGCCACGCCCTCGTCCTCGTCACTCGACTCCACCCCTAGAACTCTCCTCGCGCGGGGGTGAACGTCGCGAGCAACGGCGCCACGACCTCGGCCCGCTGGAGGGTGTCGAGTGGCGCTACCCTGTGCCCCGCCAGCGACATCGTCCGTGATGACGGACGTCCGCGGGGCACGCCCGTCCGACCCGCCCCCGTACGTGAAGTACACCTGCTCCGCTGTCCTGTCTGTGCCCCCCGCCACATCCTCTGCGTCCGTCCAATCGTCCTCTCCGTCCTCAGCGGCTGCCGCGGAACCCTCTCCTGCTCCCCGGGATGGGGGAGGAGGCACATGGTCGAAAGGGAGCACAATGGCCGCCCGATCCTCGAATACGGCAGAAACCTCTCGAGGACGGCTTGTGTCGTCCTTGCGAAAAACATCGATCTGCCTCCTGATCTCCCGGTCGGTGAATGTACCAACAGTTCTGACGTCCACATGTGCATCACACGCATAGCGATAGCACATAACTCAGGGTGGGCAGTGCCGTGGGCAAACCACCACGCCACGCAATGGTGCGTCTCCTTAGCCCCATGGCAACCCTCCGCCTCGGCATCCGACACCAGCCTGTCACCCCAGTCTCCACTGCGCGCATGGAATCGGCGCATCTGGTCACGAGCAACGAGGTAATCCCTGCTGGTGGGATCACCTCCCGTCTGCGCAAGGAGAAAACGATCACACTCCTGTACAACCTCTGCATCCTCCGTCGTGGTGTGGAGGGACGCGTAGTACCTCAAAGACCGACGACGGGGGCTTAGGAGATGAGCGGCAGCGTGCGCGGGCTCCAACAAGTGCATGAGCCGCATCCTAACCTCTCGCACGCACGGGGTCAAAAGATTGGCCGGCACAACGTCCAGCTTCGTTAGAAGCTGAACGAGATGACGGCTCCACTCGTAGACGATGGACATCATCATCCCTCCTCTGTCCATCCGCCTCAGCAGCTGATGGATGGGCTCCATCACAAGAATGAAGAACTCAACATAGCGCCAGAACTCGCCATCTCGAATCTGGAGACGCACCCATCTCGCCTGGGGTGGCAGTCTCCGCTCCCAAGGGATACTCGCCCAGGCGTCGTCATGCAACATCGCCTCCAGCGAGTCGCGTCTCCCAAGGAGACAAGTCAACATCATGAAAATTGATGTGAAGCGAGTCTCAACTGGATGCACAAGCGAAACGCGCGGGCTCTTCTTCTTGTAAAGGGCGAGAGTTGCGCCGTGCGATTTAATAAATCGCACCATCGCTCGTCCACGGATAATGGTGTCAACTGCCCACCCCACTC